ATTTAGATCATGAAAATATGATCAAAAAGAGCCCAGCAAAAGGCATTTGGGCACAGCAGGTATCGTTTGTCCACCAAACACTACCTATCACGGCACTGATTTATTTAACCGGCATTGTAAAGTCGTATAAAAATATGATGATCAACTTAGTAACTAACTAAACAAGAGACGCTAATAGAGGCATTAAGGTTTTTCTCTTCCTAACACTTGAAGAACCAATCTTATAGTGTGCCATTACCATCAACTACCTTTCTATCTTTATATACATTTTCTTGATTGTTTCTTGAATGCTTGTTTCATGAACACGGCACATTAATTCAAGAAGCAATCAAGAAAATATCTACACCGAATGAAGTTGACGATCAGAACCCTGCTGATGCTATGATAGAAGGTCATGATTGGAATCTCATTGATCTTATGAGGTATTACTTAGGAATGGCAATGGGGTAATGGGGTGGATATTAATTCTCTATCCCATTCCCCTATAATAAATTTTCCTCATTCCCCATGGGTACCACCCTCCCCATTTTTTAATGGGTATGGATTTTCCCCAACCCACTTTAATCCCCTTTTTTTTAAAAAAAAAAAAAAAATGGGGAAATTAGGGGGTACCCATCCCCAACCCATCCCCTCCTACCCTACCCAATGGATAAAAAAAAGAGGAAAAACCCATGTATTTGGATTGGATCTCCATGGATACCCACAGGGTAGGTTACCCATTGCCATCCCTAGTATTACTCGATACTTGTTCTCCACTTCCTCTCTCTCTCTCTCTCTCTTCAACCAAAAAAAAAAAACTAGTTCTTCTTCACCAAGAAACGAGTTTTAAAAGAGTATTGTTTCATGAACTTGTTAACATATAATGGCATGCAAAGAAAAGGAACAAAACTTGGTAGCATAAATACAAACATTAGTGAGTATAGATTTTCATTGCAGAAGTAGTTATTTCTTTTTTCTTGACAACCAAACACAGCATCTGGGCCTGTCATCTTTGCCAATTTTATCTTGCTGTTGTCACTAGGGGTGAGCGTGCAAATTAATGATCAAACCATTAGGCAGTTCTAATAATTTTAGAACCAAATCAAATTAGATCAAACGCTGTTCACTTTGATTCGAATTTAGAAACTTGTCATCATTCATAATATAATCGCAAAATATTATTCACAAACTGGTTTACGAGGATTATACTGCTTAAAAAAATATAATAAAATAAATAATATAAAATAAAAAAACCGGCGCTGCCTAGCTTTTACATGCAAGAACTAGTGTTACAATATATGAACTGAAATTTGAGTGTGAGATGCTTCGAGATTGATTGATTTATTGATTCCAATACCGCTTATAACGTGATAACGGACTAGTTTATTTTGTTGGTTTTGTTAATTTAGTTTATTTTGGGTGTTTTGGGGGGTTGCTTATGTGGGGATTCTAATATTTTAATTTTCTAGTTAAGTTCTTCTTAACTCTTTTGTTAAAAAATCGAGAGGATTAGGGGTTGATTGTATGAATGCGAGTAGCAGTAGTAGGGGATATTTTTACACTTCCGAATCTCTCTCGATGCATGTCATCTTCCTGTACTTTTAATTTCATGCTGTTAAATGGAATTTTTCTTTGCTCATAAAAAAAAAAAAAAAAAAAAAAAAAAAAAAAAAAAAAACTAAGAAATATAATTTTTTTTTTTTTCAAATAGCACACAAATTATTGTACTTTCAATTCCAAATTGAATACATGTTAGTTGTAACATTCCATATGCCATCTTAGAATAGCCGAGCCTGCTATAGTTGCATTTTGCATGTGTTGCATTAGGCATTTTTTTTTTTTTTTTTTTTTTTTGGTCTTATTTTTATTATTATTGTTTTATTTTTTTATTTTTTTATTTTTAAATAAGCAACTAGATGATAGTAATTAGAGTTATATGCATTCCTTGAAATGTCTTTGTTCTTTTATTTATTTTATTTTTTTGGTCAACAAGGAGAGACAGCAACTAGGCTTTGCCATCTTAATATATATTACCATGCACACACATTAGGATAATAAATTGTCAATAATTGATTAGTCAGTTGAACTTGGAGTTCACATAAATACATTAGACTACTAAACCCACAATTTCATTAGTTTGTGATTATTTGTTGAACAACTTAGAGTTGACCTAGGGTTGATCTGTTTCACATAAAATGTGCAGTCGGCCAATTTTCATTATCATATATATGTATATATATATTGAGGAGTCCCAGAGGTTTCAAGATCATTCATTCATTTGGCAATTTGATGTTGCATGCCACAAAGCTACCACAGATATGCTGATAATTTTGTACTATAACTTTGTTTGCTGCCCTGAGTTCTGATAATTTTTGTGATTATTTGTTGAACAACTTCACTTTAGAAAGGCTCAAACCTTAGTTGACTATTTTGTCAGTAGTTTTTTCTTCTTTTTTTTCCTTTGTGTGTGTGTGTTTTGATTTGGCTCAAAAGCACAGTTTGTATGCCATCATTTTTCATAAAATGCATTTCCGTGGCTTCCATTAATCCGCAACCCATTTTCCACGAGATCAGCCAGACCCACACTTGCATTGGTAAAACCCTGGCTGGACTTTCTCTTTGAGAAGCGAATTGCACGCGACAACCTCGCCATCCCTTTGTAAACTGCAGACAGGTCCTAATTTCCAACACTCAAAGCAACAATTGGCCTATGACGTCGTTAAATGCTGCACAGGCTAGTACCCAGTACCTACCTACTCGATTGTTGAAGGGTGGCCAGAGTTGAGTATCTAGAATATGTCTTTAAGCACAAATTGGTAGCAGGCTCTAAATATCGACCGGTACGTGCCGTACGGACCGATTCGTAGCGGAAAATTGGACTGCTGAGTTGGATATTGGCCGGTATACCGGTGAGAATGAAATTCGCCTCCGTAGCGGCCGATTCCCGATACGTATCGAACTGAATCCGATACGTGAACCATACAGTTCCGATGCATGTATTCTATCACCAGTACGGCTGCAAAAATGGAGCAAAGCACCTACAAAATAATTGAGCAAAGGTGTGTTCTCAAACAGGCTTTCAAGCTTCGAATCGAACCCAAACCCATCGAGTAAGGATCCTCTAGAGTTTTTTTTTTCTAAAATTTCTTAGAGTGGTGTATTGTGTGGTTGAGATTTAATGACAAGTCACATCAATTTTTCAACATTAAATCTCAACCACACAATACACTACTTTAGAAAACTTTAGGAAAAAAACACTCTAGAGGATCCTTGGTGAAACCCATCACCACTTTCAAGCTTCTTCGTTGAAGGTGTGCTCTCTTAGGCTCTGTTTATATATTTGTCATGCTCTGTTTTTTCTTTTGGCTGAAAAACCCACACACAGGCTCTGTTTTATATATTTGAAGGTTTAAGTCATGCTTTTGCTAGTTGTTGTGTTCGATTATATATATATATATATATATATTTTTATGTGTATTTTGAATATCCTAGTTGAACCCCACTGGCTTTGCGGCTGGGGTCACAATGTAGTTAAGACTGTTGATGTCATGAATGCATTTTCATATTCGTGTAAGGCAATGGGGTTCCATATGAGTATTGTTGAAAAAGTTGTTTAATTTGGCATCAGTGAGCGTGTGTCTGTCACAAGGTTCTAAATATCGGCCGGTACACGTACCGGCTGGTTCGTGCCGAAAAATTGGACTGTCGAGTGGAATATTGGTCGGTATACCGGTGAGAATGAAATTCTTTCCTATTTTGTAGTTGATTTAAGCCACTGTTCTGTGGTTATATTATGGTATGGGATGGGAGATATTTCAATATATATATTTATGATTGTTCAAATATTTATATATATATTGTTTTTTTTTTTTTCTTCTTATCAATGTAGTACCTGTAGAGTATGTTTTATACTTAGTTCACTTCTTCATTCCTTTAAGTTGATTTATTAGACTCATTGTTTATGGACCTATTAAAATCAATAAATTAAATAGTAGCAGTGTATGTTTGAAATTTCAAAATTAAGTGCCTCTACATATCAAAATTTTGATTAAAATGTGATAAATTAAGACTAAAAGAATCAAAAAATGCATAAAATTGAGTTTTAGAGGATTGCTAATAATTTTTGAAATTTTACAACTGCGACGCCAGATATCTGATACGTATTGGTCGATACTACCGATACTGATACTCCACGATCGATACCGCTACGTTACCCGATACCACGATTTAGAACTATGGTAGCAAGTGATGTGATTCATTTTTACAAGCCTGTCTCGCCTTTGAAAGACAAATCACTATGCTTTTTTTATTTGGAGAGGCACAGATGGCCCTAAACTAGATCATCACCTAGGGTTTTTTTAGATTGTTTGGAAAAGACATACATCCAGCGAATTGAAGTCATACTGATATTGACGACAACACTGAAATACGGATATTGACGACAACACTGAACATAGTAGCTCCGGTGATATGATTCCCTGAGAATTCAAATTGCTACCTAGATACTAAGCTCCTTTTTTTGTGAAATCAATATGTAGAAAAGCTTCATTGAAAAGTTATGAGCATATCTATACTGCTACACATTACTACTGCACGGAGATTGTGATTTTCCATGCAAACATTCATCAATAAACAACCCTTTTTTACATATTGGGAAATCCTATTTTTTTAATTTTTTTCCCCCCAAAATGAAATCCTGGTTAGGAAAAAACCATTGTCTGCCAAAGCCATGGTGAGCAAATTGTAGATGTGTGTTTCAGAAAACCTTAATTGTCATTTCTAACAGCTTAAGAACTAACAATAGATGAGTTTGTCATTGACGACTCAACACGCAAATATATAACTAACATGAAAAGATTAACCTAATATGACAGAACAGAAAAACATTAAACCAATGGTAATCATTCATAGTACTAGAATCATATCAAACTTTTTTAAAACCAGAACAATTTTCACATCACCAAAAAAAAAAAAAAAACATCAAGTAGGTACTGATATTTTGAGGTTATAGACAAGTCTTCTGCAAATACAAAAGGATATCTTCATACTTACCATAACATAGTTGCTAATTTTAGATACCCAAATTAGCAAATATGAATTAGAAAGAGGTGGAAATAAATGGAAGACAACAGATTAATTTATCAGTGACAATCTCAATGTTCAAAAAATGTAAAGAGCGAAGTTTTATTCCAACAAAAGAAAATCAATTTTTACCTTATTAGTCAAGAATGCTAGCTGCAATCAAACTAAAGCGCATGCTAGAAAGGGCCTCAAAAGGAAGCAACTCCCTTCTTACTGATAGCACAACTACGTGTTATACTATGCATACCTCTTATGACCTGGAAGATCGATCCATTGGATTTGGATTTCTACTTCCCCACGGTCTACGTTCCTCAGTCTAAGAGACATGTCTTGGAACATTTTTCCACTGTCCCATATAATGCAGCTCTCATCAGATAGGCAATTTGTCCTGTTTGGCTGAACTCTATCAACTTTAGTACCAGTTGGGAGGTTCTCCAATCCCATCTTCATGCACTCTATATATGGTTTGATGTCTATCTCCGCGTCGCCCATTTTGTCATCATCGCTGAATGTGTCTTTGTCATACACTGTCTGGAAAGAAGAACAAACAACTATGTGCTAAAAACAATCTGCCAAACAGGGGTTTTGCATTTTGTCTTCACTAAAGAAATTCAAGAAGAAATGTAAATGGAGTCCAACAGTCAGACATGCCCTATCATGGGTATCAACTTATGACGGAAAAAAAAAATGGGAAAAGTAAAAAGCTGCTTTTATAGCTCAAAGTCATGATCACTAACATGTATAAGAGAACCACCCATCATAAATGTTTGAATTGTTGTGGAATAAATCACACACGATATAATAACAAGAAACAATTTCGAACACGAATACAAAGCATATAGATTTACACCATTCGCCAAGTTTGCCTATTTTCATGGCTGACATCAATTTCACTACACTGAAAGAAGAGAAAAGTGCAATGCGGCTGCTGTGAAGGCAGCAATATATATGTTATGGTATACATCAGCAAATTACTTTAATACCGTTGGTATAAATTTTTGACAGCATGATGAAGTACACAATACTAATAAGGCTCCACAATCCTAACAGAAATTCCCTAAACAACACTGAGATATTGGCAGAGCTAGGATTTTGGTTTGGGACATGCAAATTGAAGTCAATAAATCTAAACATAAACATATGCAGACTTAATACAATCAATTAACAGAAGATTTACTTACAAGGATGATTGGAACATTTGGATCCTTAATAGAAAGAGTCAACTCCTCATTCCACACAGGATTGCAATTTTTCTTTACAACACGAGTTTTCATTTTCTGCATCAATAAATATAAAGATCAGCGGAAGAGATAATAGTTACAACTAGATGGCAAGAATGACAATATTTTTTAGTTTGCAAAGTAAAAGTTCATTAACCCACTAGAGAATTAAGTGGTAATTCCATGAACAAATCAATGCATCCACTAGCTAATCTATCGAATGGTGTATTTTGACCAAACGGTGAGGCTTGACAAAAGCGTTTCTGATGGCGCGGATTTTAGTCACGAAAACAGTCCCTTCAGGAATGCGGGTTCATCTGTGTCCATTTTACCCACCCTAGACCTTGATATAATGAGAATCTCATGCACCGACTCGCCTTTTAAATTATTAGAGTTTCTTTTTCAGGTATGAAAATAAGTTGTTATAGAGCATGTTAGTGAGTCAGATTCTGTCTCCAATTTTTTTTTTTTTTTTTTTTTTCCCTTCAACTTTCAATGCACTCCCAACCGCACATGATATGGTGGGTTAAGAGTGCATTGGGACTAAAAGACAAGATGCTTGAAACAGAGGACGCAGATGAAGACATGCTCCAAAGCAAAGGCAAGCGTATATTGATTGGCAGACTTCCATTCTTCTTACAATGGAACATAAGAAAAGAAACTAGCAATCTAGCAACTTCAATCAAACTAATGAAATGAACTTATTTTAGTACTTAAAAAAAAAAAAACAATTATATTCTATTAAGTTAAACATTTCCTAATGTTGAAACATTTAACTGAAGAAGTACACAAAAATAAATAAATAAATACATAATTATGGGGAGATTACAATTTAGTGAGGGACCAAAAAATAATTGCAAATCAGTGGTAAAACTTATCAACTTTAATAATTGAATTGATAAACTTTTCTATGATTTTGAAATTATTTTTTAGTCTTTCAATTGATTTGCAATTTCCCCTACAATTATTGCATTTCAGTGGCAGCTTTAGATTGATTAGAAATCAAAATCTTATTTGTCTACTTGCTTCCCTGTTTGTTTCCCTAGATATAAAATAGAGGATATAATATGATATTGGATTTAGTCAACATATATAATGAACAGGATATAGGGATTGGATAATATATTCCCCAATTCATGTTTGTTGACTTGATATATAAGATTGGATATATATTATCCATGTTTGTTTTACAAAATATATTGTGGGATATAAACAAGTAATTTCCAAGATTACCCTCATAATATTATATTATATTAAATTCAAAATTTATATTAAATTATATTATATTAAATTAAATTCAATAATATTATATTATATTAAATTAAATTCAATAATATTTATATTATATTAAATTCAATAATATTAAATTCAATTCAATAATTATATTATATTAAATTCAAAAAATATATTAAATTATATTATATTAGATAGACAAAAAGGTAAATTGGACTTTTCAAATCATATCCCAACCAAGGGGTATGATATAATGGGGGGTGGTATTGTATATCCTCCACTTTTGGGGGATATACAATCCCATGGGATATTATATCCTCATTGAAAAAAAACAGTAATGCTACAGACCCCCCCAGTGCCACGTGTTGGCCTGGGGTTGGCTGAAAAAAAATAAATAAATAAATAAATAAAAGTAATGCTACAGACCCCCCCAGTGCCACGTGTTGGCCTGGGGTTGGCTGAAAAAAAAATAAATAAAAAAATAAATAAATAAAAAAAAATAAAAAAAAAAAATTTGTTTTTGGGACCAATGGGAAGGGACCCCCAGCACCCCCACTGGGGGTCTGAAGCTTTATTCGAAAAAAAATTACAAATATGGGATATGTGGACCTCACAGGATATAATATTTAATTGCACCCTTTATATCCTGGAATCAAACAGGGCTTTTGTTTAAAAGGTAAAGAGGACTTTCTTTTAAAAATGTGTTTAACTACAAATTTATTTTAATTTTATTAGTGTGTTCATCATATTAAATTTTGTTTTTTATTACACTGTATGTCAATTACAATGAAGTAGAATGAATCATAAATTACAACAGAAATCACGAATTACAAATAGACTCCCAAAATGGGAGAGAGAGACCACAAATAAAATTAAGAAAATAAACCCACGCATAGTTTAGAAGAATTAAATTTGGACCTCCCAATGAAATATGAGAGTTCTGGGCAACAGACTAACTCCATTGGTTCACCTCTCAAATTCCTATGACATTTTTTAATTGGGAAACTACTTTAAGAAGGTTCATCAGAAAAAGTATCAAACAAATAATATCTGCAAAACATGTCGATTATCATTGTAATCATCCGCTCGTAAAAATTGAAGATAAATTACATCGGTAGTTCTTATAATTCTAATTGTATCAAATTCTTTTTATTGTGCCAGATAACGTCTCTTTGAAAATTAGACTAAAATAAAAGACAAAATAGTCCACTCGCTCTCTTCAAAAGCAGTTTAGGAATTGAGTTTAGGAGCTCCTATTTCTACATACAATTTTCACTGAATTCACACACCCTTTTTTATTTGGAGCTTGATTTCCTAACAAAACAACATGTTTCAAAAATCTTCTGTATGAAAATCAATGGTTCGGTAATCAACTTTTGGACCAAATATAGGGTTGAATAATATGGTATTGTTCGGAAATTAATTTCTAAATCATGTAATTTTGTTATCCGAACCAAAATAACTTGTGAGTTAGGATACCGAGGTGCATGAAAATAGAAGCTCCTCTTGGCATCCTGCCTATTTAATTTGAATATGTTCAATTTCTTAATAGATATTATTAATTAACTAAATTGATACATTGCCAAAATATTTATTTAAAAATATATATATGTACAATTGAAACTAAGTAGAAATATATATATAGATGGAGGTGTTTAACAAGCCTGTTCTCCCATTGTGATGACAACGTAAGGATCACTGCTGACTGTATCACGAACAACGAGATTGGTGCCTCTGCGGACTCTAATCTTCAGAAGACCGATCAAATAATCCATTGCATAAACAAATTAATGGGTTGTGTTGTTTCACACAAACCAATTAGCGTTAAATATGATCCAGATTTTCAAGGAAAAACTTTCTCACAAAGCTCAGGTGAGTCTTCTCATTATTAAACTCACCACAAACAAGAGTTGTATATTTTTAGCAGTAGAATATAGGGATGATATTAATTAGGGTAAAATTAAACTAAGATCTATTTTGGTAATTAAGAAAAAATATTTATTTGGATCACATTATATTTTTAATTTTTGTTTTTTGTACATTTAAAAAAAATGTCAATAAAAAATTAAAAAATTAGCTTTTTTTCTTACTTTCTAAAATAAACTTACTAAAATATGAACAAAAATAAATAAATAAACACAAGTTACAAAAGTTTAATGTAATTACATTATGTAACAAGCTCAGAGGTGGCCAAGAGCAAGGCTTGATTATTTCTTTACTCATTATTGCACGATATATATATTTTAATTATTTGCTTCTTTTCCAAAAGTTGTTTTTTTTTTTTTTTTTTTAGATAGGTCCATAGGTTGTCTTTGATATTTGTATAAATGCAATATTCTCCTGTTCCATAGGTTGTCTTTTTTTTTTTTTTTTTTAGATAGGTCCATAGGTTGTCTTTGATATTTGTATAAATGCAATATTCTCCTGTTAATTGATTACAATATATGTATATATATAATTACATTATTCTCTCTCTTAATATTTAAATGAAAAAATGAAAAAATTAGTCTAAGATCTCTTTCCTATGTTTAGTAATAGAAAAGATCTACAATATTATTTTGTGATGTCCAAGGTTCCTCAACCCTACATCCATATATCACAGAGAAATTTGATTCTCTCAAATCAAACCTCATTTCTCTCTCTCCCTCTCTCTCTCTCTCTCTCTCTCTCTAAACTTCTCAACTCAACAAAAACAAAGTCTCATCTCTACTTCTAACCCTCAAGCATTCAACGATTTCATCTCCATCCTTGCACAAAACCCCAAATGCGTCCAAAATAAACATCCACCGCGAGTTCCTCACATTACAAGAATTAACACTTTTACCGACCAAAAAACTGGTCGCTAAAAGTCCATTTTTGGTCGGCAAAAGTTATCCGCGACCAATTTTTTTGGTCGCTACTTTGGTCGCCAATTGAGGGTCGGCAAAAGTAATTCGCGACCAAAATTTTGGTTGGCCGGGAAAAGTCGGATTTGCCGACTAAATTTTTGGTCGCGAAATATATCATTACCGCGACTAATTTATTTAGTCGCGAAAACACTTTGGTCGCGAAAAGTGATATTTTCCCGACCAAAAAATTTGGTCGCCAATTATCACATTCAACGACCAAAAAGTTTGGCCGCCAATCGTGACATTCCGCGACCAAAAAATTTGGTCGCCAATTGTGACATTCCACGACCAAAAAAGGTTTTGGTCGCCATTTGTTACTTTTTGCGACCAAAACTTTTGGTCGGCAAAACTAAGTTTCCACGACCAAGAGCTGTTTTGGTCGGCAATAAATGTATTTTTTGCGACCAAAACTCTTGGTCGGCAATTGTCATTTTTTGCGAAAAATATTTATTTTGGATGTCGCAACTAATAAATTAGTCACCAAAGCAGGAAAACAATACACTTATAATTCCTAATAATTTATTCAATCCATAATAAACCTATAATTTTAAAGCATCACTCAAATTAACTGAATCATTAACATTCGACACGAGTCAAATGAGATTAAAACAATTAGCCACAGTTCTTGCTTGCTATGCAGCCACCAATGTTTCTTTCCCTAAAACACAAACAAAACTAAAAGCTACAAATAAACTAAGCAAGAAAAAAATTCAAAGATCTCGAGAGATTGAATTGTCAGCAGAAAACCACAACGGTGCTTTCCCTCCCTACAACTCATCCTGCAAATACAAAGCAACAAACAAGATATATCAAAGTGGATCCTTTGTGGAATTGATATTTTTAAACAATTAAAAATAGGAAGAAATTCTACATGTGCACTCTCTTCTGTAATATCAGCATCTTTGTCAGTTTCATCATCATCACCTTCAGCCTGTAAAAACCAGTTTATCGAGATTAGGACACGGTTAAAATGAACAAATTATATTGTTTGGATGAATTCGTGGCACTTACATCAGAATCTACAGGATCATCCTTTGATTCCTGACAGAAAATCAAATTGAGAAGTTGGCAACAAGACATGGAATAGCACAATCAATATTGTATTCAACCAAATAAATGCACTGATGACTCAGAGAAGCTAGTTAAACATGTTCAAATTTGACAAATGTTAATACATGTTCTGATATCCATTCTGACTGCATTGACGCATTTCTGGCAAAATAAATACTAATGTAGTGCTTGGTTCATGGATTAGGGTACAACAATTTGAAAAGGAAAATGAAAATAGAGAAAAAAAATTAGCTTATATTTCATTCTCATTTGCCTCATCTTTCCCTTTTCTGTTGCCCTTTTCAAATCCTTACCTAAATCCATAATCCAAACACATCCTAAGAGGATACTATTTCTCTATTATTTATAGTTGCCAATCTAGATTTCAAAGCGGAGATATTAATAATAGAAAAAATGTAAAAGATTTATTAAATGAGATATTAATAATAGATTTCAAATGCTGCCTTCTTAGCCTGCAACAAACAAATATAATCCCAAACTTCAACAATTGGAAGATATTTTCAAATATATCAAAACTTGCTTTTGAGGGGCAAAAGACAACATACATCCTTTTGTTTGCCCCATGTTGCCTCTGCCAGCTTCATCGCATAATCCGGATCATCACAAATCAAGACATTGTCAAACAGGGTTCTAGATTTCACCTGACAAAATTCATGCAACTTTCTTAGTCATAGTCACAAATCCATAAGAATGATAAACCATTTATAAGGGAAAAAACAAAAATACCTGCCACAAATCAATGCCCACATACTTCAACTTCGGGAAAACATAGATTTCAGGGTCATCTTTGAACTCTGCATATAGTAGCAATTTTTCGGTGTTAATGAAACATGTAACTTAAAGATGTAGACTAGAGATAATACATGAAGCCTTCAAAAAAAGAAAGAAAAGCAACCTGGGTTATCAATCATAGGTGTCTTCCACTTGCGTTGGTAGTTGGGATTCTTAATTTTCTGAAAGCAGGAACGAAATTGTTATAAATCACTGGTCTCCAATCACAACACTTATTCTTTATATATTCAAATTATTATTATGATATCTTACTCATTTACAGCATGACAACAAGGTTAGACTTAACAACCGTGCATACAGACATGATCATGCACGTGCACTGTGCAGGTTAGTGTTACATTAACGAAACATTATTTCAGAGAATGATAAGCAGCACGACCAGTGTTGGTAAAAGTGGGCTTCGAGTGCACTAGCAGAAAAGCTTATAGTAGTTAAAGTAAAGCGCATTTACAAAATACGCTTAAAGCGCGATTTTTGAATTAAGCATGGCTTTTTGCCCTTTTTTATTTTATGTTAAAAAAATAAAATGTTCTCAACTCTTACGACAAGTAATTATGACATTATTAATTAATGCACATCAAACATAGCATGAGGTGGATTCAGTTTATCAAATGATCACATGTAGAATAGGGAACCCTTTAAAGGTATCTATCTGCCTTTGAAATATGATCCTTCTTGACAATAAAAATACATAGCTTAGTTTCATAGCAAGAAACTTCCTTAGAACATGAAAGTTACCAGCTGATGCATTGTCCACCTCTTCACAAAGAAAAATCTTTCAAAGCCTTCAACAAATTGCAGTCCAGTTAAGAGAGAATCATTGATGCATCCTGGTGCACCTGTTTAAGCATATAACAGACTTGCTATTGAAACATGCTTGCAAAACACATTAAGAAAAATCAAAAGAAACACAAAAACAGCTTAAACTGTGTAAAAACAATGCTCTAAGTTGTATTTCAAAGAGCATGGAACCGCTTTTTCTATTCAAAGAGAAGATAATTGTATAAACTTATTCCCGCTTTATTTGTGTTCCCCTTCTTGTTCATTATCATCAACATCAACTAAATTTTGCTCTATTTATGTATCTGCTTTTGTTCTTTACTAGTTATATATTTCTGAGACAAAAACAATAAATATATTTATGTGTTACAAATACCATATATAGAGACAAAGGAGATTGTCCTATTCTTTACTAGTTTACAAATACCTAAAATGAGTGAAACCAATTTTTTATTCATTCTTTCTACTTAACTAGAACCATATCCAGTTTACCTTTCAGTTTTAAAGATAATAAAAACGGAAGAAATTAAATTGTTTCGGACACTAGCCATTGAACCTCATTCATGTGATTGATATCACTGACAGAAGACAATTGGCAACCAATGGCAATGATCCAAAAGACCTGTTTTGTTATGTTGAGTTATAACATAATGCATGATTCTCCAGGGTTCCTGAGCTTAGCCAAATATAGATTTCAGGCAAAGTTGAAACTCCTAATAAGCATAATGTTTTCCAAACAAGCAAACATGTGGTGCTGAGAAATCACCTTGAAAAGGGCACGCGATGCAGATCCACTTACTTACGTACTTGGAAAATACCTGTCGATGAAGCATTGCACCATTGGTCATTCCTCTTGGGGCAGAGAAGTTGTTAATATTTTCCATGTAATTGATACAAGTCAACGGGAGAAAATATGCGCACATCATTATGGAGAGAGATGAAACACGTTTTTTTTTTTTGCGCTATTGTTAGTATGAATAACTAGAAAATATATGTTAAGATTATATATAGAGAAAAAGGCAAACATAGTTTTAGTTTTAACAAGAAACACTGTCCCTTCTCTTTTGAATCAGATAGATTCATATCTGAAAGAGGCTATAAGAATTGGGTTCAAACTTTCCCCAGCCACTTCTCATTAATAGTCTCCTAATGTATATAAAAAGGGGTGTCGTGATTTGTTTAACTCTCTCACTACCAGTTGATTCAAGACCTATCCCTTTGTGCCATCAAGTAATCATAATCTTATTCTTGGATCTTGTTAGTCATATTGAGGGAATTAATATATTTTTATAGATTCTTCTAATTTATATGTATACTAAACTACTATAGTATTAGAATTTTTTTTTTAATTAATTTGTTTGTTTGATTTTGCCCCTCTTTTTTTTTTCATTTTCTTATAGTGTCTTCTTTATTATGTTTCTTTTTCCATCAAATGAATCCAAAATGCATTAAAATGCATTAAAATCTTATTAATCATAATCATAATGTTTCTTATTAATCATAATCATAATGCATTAAAATCTTTTTCCATCAAATTAATCATAATCTTATTATGTTTCTTTTTTCATTTTCTTATAGTGTCTTCTTTTTTTTTTTTTCTTTTTCTTATAGTGTCTTCTATAAAAATGCATTAAAATTCTTATTCATTGACCGAACTAAACAAGCCTTAATTACTTACTTGGGGTCACCTACATTAATTTGTTTTCTCTAGTTTGCTTTATTTAAAACTATTTCCTTGATTGAAATTATAAAACAAGCTCCTCTATAACAATTGCCCATTTATTTGACATTAGAATATTGAAATTAAATCATTAGAGGTACATATCAAAGGGAAAATCAAGATTAGAATTGTAGAGAGATTTTAAAAAACGAGAGATTGATGATTACCTCCTCTATAACAATTGTCCCATTCATTTGACCCTCTTTTGCCTACAAAGTAACAAATCACAAGTAACAAGCATATCCTCAAGAAGAAGAAAATGGAAGAGAAAATATAAAGAGAATATAAAAGTGAGAGCAATTGATGGTTACCTCCTCCATAACAATTTCTCCATTTATTTGATCCTCTTTCGCCTACAAAGTAACAATCACAAGTAATAACCATATCCCCAACAAGAAGAAAATAGAAGAGAGTTATAAAAATACATGAGAAAAGAAGTCATCATTATTTACACAATGGTATGGATGATAGAAAAGAGCTTCTTTATATATCACCAAAAATAAAGTGGTACAAGTCAAATCATAAATTAATATGTTGTCATCATATAAAATAAAAAACAATCAATTTGTAGACATCCAACAAACACTAAAAGACAATCATCAATGGGATACCACCTAGCCTATTAAGTTAATCACTAAAGGCAGGTTCCTCAATCCCCTAAAAGAAAGCAAGATAACATAACATAACATTCAAACAATCGATTTTGATCTTACAATCAACTCAATTCATTTGTACAAGCAAATATCAAAGAGAAGAAATAATGCACTGCACCAAAAATCTTTGTTAATAAATTGAAATTCAATTTGATTTTTTACATGAAAGAAATTCCTAAGCAAGGTCACATGATGCAAAAAGAAGACACATATGCAAGGTGACCAACTCTAATCGTCATCTGGCCTTTTCTGGTTTAGGAAAAACAAGGATCTAAAAATGCATAAGTAAAATATGCTATAAAATCTGATGCACAGAAGGCATTGAAACTATGACTATGGTGGATGGTAGGGATTCCCCAACTAGAGGACACATGGCAAGCAGATGTCTGAAGCCCCCCTAATGGCATGAATTAAAATGGTGCTACTCTTATCCATCGAAATGGTGTTAAAGTTGTGATATCACATGAGATTAATTCTGACAGGAAGCTCCGTTAAGTATATTAATTTAATTTCAATGTCAAATTATTTTAGATTTTAATAATGTTTATTTCTAGAATTGTGCAACTTAGAGTTTTGGTATTATATGGCATTGATTCTCTTTGCTGGATATTTAAAGAATGCAGAAGCTTCTGTGGATGCCTTGTCCATATGGTGAGTACACAGTTCTACCTTTTTCGAGGTGTTTTCCATCATTTTTAAAACAATAAAAATGTTGATTTGCAGCATTTTAAAACAATTAATATGGTGAGTTTCGCTAATTGTTAATTGTTTCATGTTGGTTTTGCAGCATGAACATATTGGGCTAGACTGTCATGGTAGCTTTTGGATTCAATGCAGCCATAAGGTTATTTTGGCATACACAAAAACTACCATAATATGTAAATAAAAAAAATATTTAGTTAATGATTAATTTGTTGGAATGATTTTTGTCCAGAATGACCACTGATTTAAATTATTGAGTTGTAATTTGATTTCCAATATAAATTTCTTTTCTTTTTTTTTTATCAAACCGATATAAGAATGAATATTTTGACAAATTGATAATTTCATTCTATCTTATTCCAACGAATCAAACACTGTATAGCATCACAAGATCAAACAAAGCCCTTTCAGAACTCTTAACACAAAGGAGCTACAAACCTAAGAATTGATTTTTAAGAAACGCCTAAACCAAAAAACTTCATCCATACTAGTCCACTTTTTAACTAATACATTTGTCAGTCTATTAAATTGCAGAACAACAATTCTGATATGTTTTAATCAATACCACCATAGTTTGAGGCATTTTGTCAAATACCTGGTAGGCATGAATATCAGATATGCTTTATTCCTTCTTTTCTATACATAGATAGGGATAAACACCAAAGAAAAGAACAACAAAACATAATTACATACCAAACTGATGAGAATAAAAACACATATAAAGATCTAGCACCACTTTTTGAAGAATTGAACTAAACCTGAACAAGTAGTTGTGGCACTCCACAGAGAAGAACGTGTGGATTCTCCATCGAGCTTCTTGGGTCGTTTCTTGGCAATACCCACCATTGATCAGACCCAAAATCACCACCACCAGAACCACGAGATTTGCCATTGAAACTCAGTTCAATGGAAGATTTGAAATGGGTAGTGTCGTGTAGATCTGAATTTCATGATTGGCTATGGAGTTTAGAGAGAGAAAATAGGAGAAATCTAGGTGAATCGGTGCTTCGGTTGCCCGCGACGTCTAGGAGGAGCGGTGGAGGCGCGGCTGGTGGAGCGGCTGTGAGAGAGGGGGAGAGGAGCAGCAGAGAGGGAGAGGGAAAGGCAGAGGCAGAGGCAGAGGCAGAGGCAGAGGGAGAAACGTGAAGAGAGATACAGAGGCGTTGTTTGTGGTATAGAACCATATATATATATATTACACCATTAGCAGTTTTATAAAATCCCTCCAAAATTTAAAATAAATCCCTCAAAATATTTTAATTTTTGGCGACCAAACTTTTAGTCGTCAAAGACAAAAAATAATTTTTAATTTTACATTCGGCGACTAAATAATTTTAGTAGCCAAAATGCAACATACGGTGACTAAACTAATTTTTTGTCGCTGAAAATTTGTTCTTGGCGACCAAAAAGATAAAAAATAATTTTTTATTTTACATTTGGCGACTAAATTTTTTTTTTTTTTGTAGCCAATTCTGGTGTGTTTAGCGACTAAATTTTTTTTTAGTTGTCAATAATCAATATATCCCGACTAAAAAAATTTAGTAGCTAAATGCTGTACTTTTGGCGACTAAAAAAAATTTTAGTCACAAATTCCACTTCTTTTGGTGACTAAAATTTTTTTAGTCGCCAATTTTGGGCGCCAAAGGTGCATTTTGTTATAGTGAGAAGAAAGATGGACAAGAGAGATAAAGAGCGGAGAGATATAAGAGAGCTAGAGAGAAGAGTGATGAGTGAGAGAGAGGGAAAAAAATTGGGAAAAGATAGAGGGAAAAAGATTGAGAGAGAGATAGAGTGAAGAGAGATTTTTTATTTGGTGACCAAAACTTTTTGGTTGCCAGAGGTAAAAACAAATTTTATTTTCCATTCGGCGACTAAATAGTTTTGGTAGCCAAAACTCAATATACGGCGACTAAAATACTTTTAGTCACTAAAAATAAGTTTTTTGGCTACCAAAATTTTGGTCGCCAAAGATAAAAAAATAATTTTTTATTTTCCATTCGGCGACTAAATTGTTTTAGTAGCCAAAACTCAATATACGGCGACTAAAATATTTTGTCGCTAAAAATAAGTTTTTGGTGACCAAAATTTTGGTCGCCAATTCCATAACCAACTTATTTTTGGTCTTCCGCGACCAACTGATTTTTTGGTCGCCAAAATGTGACCTTCCGCGACCAAATTTATAGTTGGTCGCCAAAACCATACCACTTTCTGCGACCAACTCATTTTTTGGTCGCCAAAATATGACCTTCTGCGACCAACTCATATTTGGTCGCCAAAAATAATGATCATTCGCGACTAATTAATATTTGGTCGTCAAAAGATAACTTTTAGCTACCAACTTTTATATTGGTCGCGAAATGTGGTCGCTAAAAGCACAGATTCTTGTAGTGTCACTTCGTCGGACTCCGCCGACAGTGGCTTTTTTCGGCACTTCCTCTAGCGGCGGACCATAAACCAAGTGGCAAAGTTCCTAAACTTCCTCTCCATTCCTTTCAAAGACGAGCTGAAGGAGAAGCTCAGATCTATAAATCTCACCGGCGATTGTCTCCGACTCAAAGGACTAAGTTCTCCGGTGTAACGCACCGAAAATAATAGGCAATAGGCCATCCATTATAAACATTAAATGACTACACTAACATAAGTAATTATCTTTCATTGATACTAATTGAGTTTACAAAAGAGTAACATACTATGCATTCATAAGTCTATCCTTGAATCTGTAGCATATGTCACAGCAGGAGATAAAATATGAAAATAAAACGTTAATAAATGTCCTAAAAGCTTACAACTTTTCAAGACGGTGCTTGGTTACAACAAAAGTGAAATTTAAGTCCAATACATGTAAAGCCCTTGGCTTATACAAAAATAAATATAACAAAATGAAACTCTTACTCCAAGTCCTCCCAAGCTATTGCCTTAGCAGAGGCATATCATCAGCACCTGAAATGTTTTCCCCACATAGGATAAGCTAAGGCTTAGCAGAAATAATCCAACACAGTAAATGAATCTTAACAAAGCTATAAGGTGAATCCATAGACAATGCTTGTATCAAAACATTTTATCTCTATCCAAAAACCATGTAATGCCAAATAAATGTCATAGTTCATAAAAGATTCTCTTTTCAAGGTAAAAAATAGGGCAATGGTTCATATTTTTGGAAATCTCAAAAACGGTGTCACATTTCACAGAAATTTTGCCTGTGGGAAATCATAAACCGGCACCTATATAAACGTAGACTATATAAGCACTACTATTGCTATTTTACAAATATTTCGTCCCCAGGATCGGCACCCATGTATACGTGCGATTTTTGAGACTTTCACCCTTGATACACAAGCCAACTTAGTTGATGTAACAAGAACTCCTTTCTGGATCCACACATTTTCTCAAAACAATATACATTTGCAATGTATAAATATGAAATAATAAACGATGCAAATGAATAAGAAAAACAGTTTCAATTTCCGTAATTCTCATGCAACTTCTACAACAATTATAGTTATCCTCCACCAATAGCTCAAAATATATATTTCTAAACAGATAATTTATATTCCATAAAGATAAACTTTTTAAATTTCAAGAGGTGAGTGATAATACATATTCAACTCTACCATCCTCATCAATATCAATCCAATTTCACTATTCCAACATCAATTTCATTATTTATACAAAATCAATATTTGAGGCATTTAGGGTAAAATTCCTTTTCTTTCCAAAATCAACTCTGTTAGGTTTTTATTATTGGCAACCCCGTTTGACAAAACTCCTTTCAGTTGTATTTATTTTCGCACTTTTATTTCAGTGAGGCTATGAGTTTATTACATGCGAATCCAACCCGAATTGTGCCATTCAGAGAAGTTTGTGATGTTAATGCTTTCGAGATTGTCACTTCGCTGATTATGACGGGGGTTGAGCTGCCCGGTCAGCTCGCGGCCGAAGCAAATTGCAAAATTGCATTCAAAATTACATGTCCGCTCATGTTCGCTCGAGCCAAGGAATGCTCCCTTGAGTAAAGTTCGCTCGAGCTAAGGATTGCGTCCATACAAAAACTTGAAATAGTGGTGTGCTCGCTCGAGCCAAGGCACTAGTAGAAATCACGAAAGTTTTGAAAGGTTTTGTTTAAAGAAAGTACATCAAAGGTTTTGTTTGTCATACACAAGAGAGAGAGAGAGAGAGTTGTTCTTTGGTTGATTCTGAAGAATTCGAGCCTGAAGCTTCGGTGGATTCTGGAGTGACTCATCGTAAAGACAATTCTGAGGTGAAGACGGGGTTGGAAGAGGCACATAGAGGTTGGTTCAATTAGGCGTGGATTCACTAGGTAATTGAGAGTATACCTATGTAATTCCTTTAAATCTTCTTAGTGGATTGTTTTGTGGCGGTTGCCCGTGGTTTTTTAATCACAGTTGGAGGTGTCCAATTGTAGTTTTTCTACGTTAAAATCATTGTGTCGATTTGTCTTGATTGTTTGATTGGGATTGTTATATACTGCTTAAAATTGATACATAATCACAAATCAACATCTAGGGGATTTCTAGATTTTTTAAACTCTAAGTATCAAAATCAATCATTCCTTCCCAACTCAAAATTATCTTCAACATCAAAATCATTTCCAAGATTCATGTGAAAAACCCTAAGTGTCGCTTGAGCGTCCAAACACAAAAGATATGACCACTCGAGCGCATAATACGAACTCGCAAAAGTTTTATAGATAGAAGACCATTGCTCAAGCTTAACAATGGTCGCCTGAACCGACACCACTCGAGCGTAAGAAGCATTGCTCGAGCGTAGAATACCACTTCCTAGTACTTTTGCAGACTTACAAAAGTACTGAGAGTTCAAAAAGACTGCATGAGTGCAAGAAGTGATGCTAGAGCGAAGGAACAAAATTCTGGGCAACAAAAGTTTGAAAAAAACAAGCTATCAACCTATTCCAAACGCAATCAACACATCTCAAAAGCCAAACTCAAAGAGAGATAAGGGGAAACAAGACATGAATAACTATATATGACAACGAAACCCAGATCCAAAACATCAAATGGGTTGAGTACAAACTAGAATCACTACAATCTTCCCCCTTTTAGAAATTTCGTCCCCAAAATTTTAAACTGAACATTAAAAACGTGTTTTAACCAATTACAACAATGATAATAATTCCAATTCATCACCATGACCCATCCACCGGTCATCCATTCCAATCAACATGATAAACGAGTTTTTAACACTAAATATACAATTCACATTTCCAAAGCATATACAATGTTTATATTACGTTAACATAACAAAGCTTTCAATAGGTGCTCAAACATCAACAAATAGGTCTGGATGCCTTTCACGGACTTCTGCTTCACACTCCTATGTGGCCTCCTCAACTCCGTGGTATCGCCACAACACTTTTACCAAAGGAATCGTCTTGCCACACAAGATTTGAACTTGAGTATCTAAGACTCCAACCGGTCTCGCCTCATACGAGGCGTCCTCATCAACTTCTAGCTTAGTCCAATTCAACACGTGTGAAGGATCCGGCTCATACTTTCGAAGCGTACAGATGTGAAACGCATTGTGAACCCTGGAAAGCTGTGACAGCAAGACCAAACGATAAGCTACCTCCCCAATCTACTCTAGGATCTCAAAAAGTACAATAAACCTAGGACACAACTTTTCGCTCTTCCTAAACCTCATCAAACCTCATCTAGGTGATATCTTCAAGAAAACGTGGTCGCCCACCTCAAAGGATAACGATCTACTCCTACGGTCTGCATAGCTCTTCTGACGACTCTGAGCCGTAACCAACCTCTTAGGGATAAGTGTAACTTTCTCGGTCATTTCTCGAACCAACTCTGGACCTAACATAGGTGCATCACCCACCTCAACCAACATACAGGAGATCTCCATGGCCGGTGTAGACGTCCCCGAATGACCCCCGGGAGGAACGAGTTCCCCCGTTCCGTTCGATATTGGGCTCACTACAGTTCGGACTCTCAAATTGTCACGGTTCTAAATCTGAACCAAAGAGTCCAAATCCGGCAAATCGTTTTGAGAAAACAGATTTTTGAAAGAAGTGCCAAACATGGACTGCTTTGCCAGATACAGAGTCGCCACCTAAATATTTTATTTTGGGAAATTTAGGAAACCCTGACTCGGTGCCAAAAGGCCACGT